TAGATTCGCAAATATCAATTCACATGCAGACCACCATTGTTGTATATACTGCAATGCACTCTGGTTAGTGACGTCAAATGGTTGCATCATCTGTCCATTCTTTTTCCCCATGTGATGTTAGTCCGTTAAGCCTTTTGAAGTCGTACAAAGTGTAAGTGAAGAAGATAATAATGACAAAGTTACTTGCGGTGCCAATCAGAGAGGTGAGGAGGCGAGAGTGGAGCTAATACGTTCATGTCTGTATGACAACTGCTTGTCAATGTCGACCGAGAGAGGAAAAGAGCGAGAGGTTGAATACCTGGTATAAGCGATGTGGCCTGGTTGATCATAACCAGAGTATATACTTCTATACACAGCTGTTCACACCTTCATCAGCACAATAATTTGGTCTAAATGGGTCTCCAGTGACCACCTGGTGACTTTCCCACTCCAAATGCAAATAAGATGAATCATTCCACATTTACTTTAAACAACCATTAAAAACATGAATACATGCAGGTCATACCTTAGGACCGAGTTATTCACAGCATGTGGAGACATCGATGCATTATATCAGCGTGTGACATAATGGGTGTGATATAACGGAATTACAGGAATGATCAAGCTATTTATATAGTTAATCAAGTTTCAATTTCAATTAAAATGTTGTCTTCCGACAATCATGACATCAAAATCATGATCTCAATATCAGTCAAAATAATCTTGACTAGGATTTTTGCCAAAATCAAGCAGCCCTAGGTACATACACCCTGGACACTTTACACACTGACACTTTACACTGTTTACATTATTCTATATTTTATATTTTGTATTTTCAAAAAATTATTTTTTAAATTTTACATTATATTCTATTTTACTGTATATATATATGTGTATTAGTAATTTGAGTGTTTATTGCATGGCCTTGCGGAACAGTCTTTACATTTCACTGCACATCTGTATGAGCATGTGACAAATACAAATCTTGAATCTTGAATTTTGAATACATAAACCACAATAAAGTGAATGACACAAGCAGGAGATGTGAGCCAGAGCGATCATCAATCGTTTTAGAATAAAGCAGGGCAGTCACAGATCTCTACGTCTGTGTATTATAAAAACAATGATGACTAATAACACCAGTCCACGTTAGTGTTGTTTCTTTTTTCGTCCAACAGTTGTTGTGTATTAATCATACATGTCAGGCCCTGTGTGGTTTCAGGACATGTACTCCAGATGAATTAGTGTTATTGTTGGTTCTGTAGGAGCTGAATAGAGGTTAAGAGGGCTTTTACTTTGAGGTGTTAGCTAGCCGAATCACTGCGTGGACTCCTATCATATTAGTACGGATGAGGCGTTAGCTGGCAAAGTTAGAATGGATGTTTTTCCTCCCTGGGTGCTCCTGGGAGGATAAACAGGCCATCCATAATTAACAGCTGCCCCGCCTGCATTCTGATCCACTCTGCTTTAAAAAGAACAACTGTCACCATTGGTTAGAGAGCGAGGGAGGAGAGAGGGAGCAACAGAAGAAGAGACTCATAGATGAGGAGATAACGCTCTGGCAACACGCAAACAGACGCACCCACTCATATTGAAAGACAAGTCCATTCAATGTACAGTTATTAAAGGTATAAGCATCAGAGGTAAAGACCAACACTTTTCTTTTCCATTGCCTGCAGACCTCACACTCACACACTCCCACACACGAAGGGAGAAACCTACAATATGTTACTCACACCCATAAATGGGCGCACATTTTGCTCCTGGCTCTGGAATGAGCAGTGAATTGCTCTATAATGTATTTAGTGGGAATAGGCTCGACAGTGAAACAGGAAGCTTCCACTTTGTGCTTCTCCTGATACAAGAACACATTTATACAAAGCTCTGTAGTGTAAACCACATTTAAACAGCAGCCTGTTACTTTTAGTGGAGTTTGTGTCACACACTTTAAAAGCTTATTAAAGTACTTTAACTTGTTCCCCATAGAAACTGAGCATTATATCCTGGGCTCTGACGGGGTTAGAAAATAAACCCCTTCCACTGGACGGGCAATGATTTTGTTTCGTTTTACAGCCAAATTCATAATGAATGTCGCTTGTAAAACCCGTGAAGGGATGCAGTGGCTGGTGTAGCTGAAGGGTGGGAATTTTACGGGCATAAAAGTTATTATTCCATTTTGTCGATAAATCATTGTCAAAGTAAAATGTTTTAATATTGTGCTGCTTTGTCATCCACTTACCTGAGTTTGTTCTGTGCCAAATAAGTGAACCATGATCTCACTTAAAGGTTTGTGAACCCCAATATAATTTTCAAGCTCAGCATCTGGAAATTTTTGGACTATAAATGCTGTATTTGGACACAAGGGGGCAAAGGCATTGTCACATCACTATTCAGGTTGAAAGGTCGCTCACAGGTATCACAAGTCGTCAATCACAGGTAGCCACGCCCTGAAGCATACCCTGCAGTGTTGTGGATTTGAAAAGATGTATATATTTGAATTTTTGAATTTTATATACTTTATCAATCCCTGAGGGGAAATATTTTTTATTTAAATCAAAATATAAAAAATATATTTTGTTAAAATTTCTTCTTTCAGAATTTGAATGAAGCAGCATGTGGAAAAAGGCGATATCTAAAAAAATCTATTTTTCAGTGTCAGGTTAATCAAAATTTCAGCAAGTCAAAAATTCTAATCAGACTTGGAGTAAATATCCAAGCAAGTTCTGGACATCTCCACAAAATGTACAATCTGATTATTTACCAACAAATATTTATGATAAACCAAACCTCCCAATGTAAGATAATATGTAGAAAATCAAATACACCTCTGCAAACTATATAGTAGCTGTTGTGACTCTTTTGATTCCATGAAGCAACAGTGTATTGTATGAGGCTCTTCTGAGAACATTTGCATAGTTGTTGGCAGTTTTACATGCTAAGTCTGATTTCCACCCTATTTATAATAGATATGTGTTGTTGTGTTTGAGATGCGTCAGAATCCAGGGCAGTTGTCGTGGGGACCAGATTGACAGTGGAACAACAACAGTTGATTGTACTGAATGTTTCTGGCAGGAAAAGTAGTACTGTTCCTTTGTGTTTTCTCTCTCCCCTCCTCTTTCTTTTTTACTGTCTTTGCTCCTTTGTTCCCCCCTCTTCCTCCTCTCCTTCCTTATGTTTCCTCCCCTCTCTCTCTCCCTTTCCTTTGCCAGATCTTTCCTTCCGTCCTCCCATCTTTTCCCTTTCCCCTCTCTCCCCTCCTCTACAAATCTATATGCAATCATCCCACTGCAGAAGTCCAATTTAAATGTGGAACAAATGTTGTGACAGACTAAAGCTGGATAGAAGTCCTTATCCGCAGAGTGAGAACTGAATTATCCTGCTTGACTGAGCTGCTGACACACACACATTGAGAAGGAGAGAGGGAGAAAGAGAGGCAGAGAGAGAGAGAGGCCACAAAGTCTCATCAGAATTAAGCTAACCTTTCTGTCTGTCTATTAGTCACCCTGGAAGCCAGTAATTCCTTAATTCCACTATGGAGAGACATTCACACATATTCTTTAACTTCAATTTGTCTGTCGAGTTTCATCTTTCCTCAGTGGTCCACAAGAGCTGCTAGGACACCTGTGGAAGAAAAACTAAATGGATAGTCCTGAGTTCAGTATGGCAGAGAATAAAGGACACATGATACTGTAGCAGTACTAAATACTTACTTTAACCAACAATCCAGCTTTGCAAAGTGATTGGCAAGTTGGAGGTGAGAAAGTGAGCAAGTTTCAAATTTCACTGATAGGCTGCTTTGTTCTTTAAAAAATGAATACCATGACTTTTCCTATCAGAGCCCCACCATGAATGACATTATCCCCCATTAGCCCCAATTCATTAGCCCCAATTCAAAGGACCACCATGTGTTGCTCCACTCCATGATTTTACTTGCCAAAGAGAGGATTTGTTGAAGAACCTGCTGTCTTGATATACCTTAAATTACACCATTACATCATCAGTGTAGAAACTGTATGTGAGGAAGATTCAAAAACAAAAGTGGCCGATATTCATCTTGCAGAGGATACTTTTTTTTTTTAGTCTGTAATGGCAGCTCTATCATGGCGGCCACCACGACAAGACAAGTCCTGTTACAACTATAAAAAGAAGGATTTCTCTGGCTTTGATAACTGTTGGATATGTTTGAGGTAATTGTAAGTACTCAACAAAATAAAATATATAACAGGTTAAGTCAATTTTTTTAAGATATTTAATGTGATCATTCTTATAAAATTCTACATATTGTACCTTTAAACATCATCCAGAATTAGAGATGCCATTATGAACAAATATCAAACGGACTAAGTGGACACTTTATGATGAGTACACTACCCTTAATATGTATTGTTAATTTTATAACATTCTTAAACACGTGTTTTAAGGGAAAACTGATCTTCACCATGTTTGATCATTATGTTTACAGATGATAAAATTGTATTCCCCCAGTGCCAGATAGTGCGTCATCCCTTGCAGATTGCAATGGTGCATGGGGAATCAAGTACGTCCTACAACTTTCGGTCACATCCACAGATTTTTTTTTTAAGCATTTTGCATTTCTTAGCAGTGCTAATAGAAACTAGCTTTCCAAAACAGTCTTAAAAACAACAATAACTTACTGAAAAAAAAAAAAAGATTATTTTGCACTGAAATGGGTCCCAGCAAAGCTTTTCTCTAATTGTTTGCTGCAGACAAAACAGTTGTTTATCAGAGAATCCTTGTTGTCGGAAACTGAAGTGTTTTTATTTTGGGTCATTCAGCCCGGATGATCCAGATTGCTGCTGTTACAACAACAACACATCAATGTTTAATAGTCTGCATTGCAGAGATAATGCTCCGATAGTCACAGTTAAATCTGTTTTGGTGTGTGTCTTGAGTTTTTGCATAGCAGTGACAAATGGAGACTGAGAAAGATGGGGAGGGAGAGGGAAGCCATGAGGGGAAACCATGTCATAAATATGTTAAAATACATCCATAAAAGTCCATTTCAATTCATCACTTTTTATTTCAACAATCATCTTCAGACTCAGACATTTATTTCTGGTCATCCCTGAGCCACACGCCAAATCCTGTTTCGTAACAATTTGATTTATTCTGCCAACAGGGAGAATGATAAGAAAGCTGATAGTGCTGCCAAGTCCTCAAAGAGCAGACTGCAGAAGACACAACATGAAACATTCAGCAGAAATTGGCAACTGCTTTTTCAGTGTAAATAAATCAATTAGATGAACAGTGCCTGGAATAAAACGCATTTTCCAAGGCTATGGGCCCATTTTCTGGTTCAGAGCTGCTGGTGCTGTTATGAAATAAGGCTCATTTGGGTGTAACAAACAAAAAAGGACACTACATTTCCATAAACAGAGTGGAAGTAGAAATTATTACCATGCTTTCAGGACTTATGCGTCCACTTTAACACTGTTGATATGGAAGTGGATTCCATGTTTAAATGCCCCCTTCTCTAAAGCAATGCAACAGTATCACCAGGAAAGAACTGACTATTCTGTTACCTCTGCCTGTGTTTGACAGCTGCCTCAATGGGCTGCCTGTACTGCTTGTCTTTTATTTGTATGAATTTGACTTTCATAATAGCCCGTCACCCTCAAATATTTTTTATACTTACGTTTTATTACGTCTACAGACATTGAACCCATGTTGAAAGGTGCATTATAACATGCTTTGATGTCTTTAAGACCATCCACAGTTCATTTCATGGTCTTTGTTTGCTGAAAACCCTGTGACTGCAGAATAAAGAAAGAGAGCAAATCCTGAGATGACACAGAGCCTCATCCCTTTCACATGGGCTTCAATTAAAGAGCAAGATATTCCAAACATCCAAAAATGAGTCCTTTTACAGGGCATTTTCAAAATCTGACATACAGTGTTGGTTAAAAGAGCTTTAGAAGAACATAAATAGAGGTTACACAATGTCAATTAATAGTTTTTAGGTAACAGATTAACAAGAATACATCTCAAACAAATACTCACCTTTTGAACTTGATCAACCTTGTAAGTTAACAAACAGCTGCTTATTTTATATCGGCAGCATATAGAGCAAAATTGGCATTCATGTGGAGTTATGTTCATATCCAAACTCCTTAAGGAGTACCTGACAGACAACACTGCAGGAATGTGACAATGCCGACAGAATAGTGAGATCGGGGGAGGGTGGGGGGGGTGTATCGTCCACTGCATGCCTGGTGAAAACATGTAAAGTAAGTAAACAAAGTATGAAGTCAAGTAACATAGGTTAAAAAAAAAAAAAAAAAGCAAAATTGTTTAAGATGAACATGGTTTACTTATTCCACAGGATGCCACTGTGACAGTTACAATAAATCATAAACTGATACTTAGGCATAATGTACAGAAGTTTAAATACTAAGAAAATATTTAAGCAGCATTTGCATGCATTTCTAATTGGCTTTAGTTATCTACCATCATTGTTGCCATTTAAATGCACAGTCTGTAAATTCCACCACCAGGGGGCTCTCATTTAAACAATAGCACAAAATGACATCGAGGCTGGTGGGGAATCATGGGAGTGAAAACGCTGACAAATGGACTCTCTTGACTATAGTCAAGACAAACCTGCGAAACAGACCCGAGGAAAGAGTATGTTAACTGACTTTGTATCCAAGTATAATTTACATGTAATTTTTTAATCAAAGCAGCACATACAGCAACAATACGGCAGCAATTCCCACTTATGCAGCAGTCTTTGAAGTGACATGCGTGGTTTTCGAAGCAACAATAAGTATGTCTGTAATGGGGGCCGCTACGACAAGACACGTCCTGTTACAACCATGAAATTACAGATTTCTCTGGCTTTGATAACTGTTGGAAATATTTGAGGTAGCGAGTACTCAACAAAATAAAACATAGGCCAATTAAAATTTTAATTAATTAAAACATAATGTAAAAAGTCTACATGTTGTACATTAAAGTAGAGTTGGTTTGTTACACTACAATTACCAAACATGAGATATTTTAGGTCTTAACCCCGATTGTGTTACTGCTTCTGTGCTGGAGGTGTCATGTTTTCAGGTTGTCAATCAATCCATCAGTCCATTTCTTGAAAGCATGATATCTCAGGTCGTATGGAGGGGATACCTACAAAATGGGCACAAATGTTCATTTAAGGACACATTTTGAAGAAATGGGAACAAATTCTAAGAGATCACATTTCAAAACTAAAAACTAACTTCACTCTTACTATATTGTCCCTAAAAAATGTGTTCTTACTGTGGCACGGGTTGGTAAATGGTAATAATGTCAAATAATAATTGACAACCCCACCTGGGGGCTTGCACCCCGGGAAATACACAACTTAAGACTCCAAATGTAAATAATTAAGAGACAGATTCGAACACTGATGAGACAGAGACATGGTTTCAAAAGAATTTAAGGAGTTTATTTGGATAAAGCAAATGAAATATGGAAACTAAGGTGGACTGAAGCATTGGGGAAGAAAAAACTGGTTGAACAATATAATAATGCAAATACTAAGGACAATTAAGATATTTTTATTGATCACAGAATTCAAATATGTAAAATGTAAAGTTGAGGTTTAAAACACTACCAATCCAGAAATAAATCAAAACTGAGCTTAAGCAAGGAGTGAAGAGGCAGACTACACTGAGGAAGGTGTGGGGGTGCTACCACATACTCACCCTTGTGAAGCACAACAAATCTCACAGCAATCCAAACTTTAGTGTAGTCCATTTGTGACCCAGTGCTCTTAACTCGCATGTGCACTGTGGGGACCTAGCCACCCCAACTAAGTGGCTGAAAGAAAAACACAATTAATCAAATAACCAAAACAAAGTAAACAAGCAATTTCCAGTTGGTTGACAGCAAACTAAATAAAGACCAAGTCAAAGTAATACAAAAACAGAACAATGTGAACAAACTAAACTAACAGGGACAATCAGTGAGTTGGGACCAAAAAGAAAAGTACTCAAACTAAAGGCAAACACTACAAAAAAGGAGGCAAAACAGCAGAAAAGGGGCAAAACAGCAGCAGGAGTTAAGATAAGAGCATAAATACAAGGTAAGAGCATAAATGAAAGAACAGTAAGAAGTAAAAGAAGATAAAAATAGTAAAAACCAGTAAGACATTAAGAAGACGACATCACATAAAAACAAGTCTGTAAAAGTACGTTTTAAGAACGGATTTAAAATAATTGAAGGAATCTGCAAGCCTCATCTCCTCAGGGAGGTCGTTCCAAAGTTGAGGGGCCCTGACTGAAAAGGCCCGGTCACCTTTAGTTTTAAGTCTTGACTTTGGAACGACCAGGAGGCCCCCACCTGAGGATCTAAGACTGCGGGCTGGCTCATATGGTGTCAGTAGCTCTGTTATATAGCTTGGAGCCAGCCCTGTCCGTGCTTTAAAATAATCAGTAATGAGTAATGATCTCATTAACTATTTAAAACAAACAAGTTAAACATTGCATCAAAGCTGTACTCACCAGAAGCAGCAACACCAAACAAATGCCAGACAGGAGCAAAAGCACAAGCCATGTAGCAGGCATCCAGGTGCCTTACATAAGCCCACCTGATTAGTGAGCCAGGGGAGGGGACAGGTGAGAGGCTGCATTCAAGGGCTCTATATTTGGTGTTGTCTACCACATTACCATTATTCCCAATCCATTCTTTTAGGTGTGATATCTAATGCGCACAGAGGATATAACCTCAAATTTACATCACTGTACACTTGGACTTCAGCATTGTCGGATTTGATTTTGGGATTCAATGGTCAATGTGGCCACTGTGGCCTCATGTCTGGCCCACTCCAGTGAGTTTAATAATGTACATATATAGATATTTTAGTGATGACATCCCTGTTACATCTGATTGTATAGCAAGCTCTACAGTTCTTAAGCTTTCTGAAGCTGTTTTTTAAGGGTATGTTATTCTTCATATATATACAAAAGCATAAATGTATCCTACAGTTGTTTACTGTTTCACACACAATGTCACTGTCATTCTTTTGGAAACATGTGGTTGGATATAAACTGACTGTTAGGCAGAGGCATTCAGCTGCAAGGTGATAATTCTATTTTACGTTATGAAACCACAAAGGACATGAAGTTACAGGTGTAAGGAACATCTATCCCCTGTAGAGGAACAGTTTCCAAGTGATGTGTTTAATTGAAAGGTATACAGCAACTGTATGTTTGTATGTCAGTTGCTGGTTTGTAACTTTGAGTTGACAAATTATTCCAAACTCAGTGGCTTATATTGTTACCGTGCTGTTACCTCTGTATGCCCTAAGGCATATGCACACAAACACAAACACACAGGTGACTGTTGCTTTATGCCATGTTGTGCTCCCTGGAGCAATCTGAGAGCGACACTCACACACACACACACACACACACACACACACACACATACACGACACACACATACACACACACACACACACACACACACACTCACACACACACACACACACACACACACACACACACACACACACACACACACACACACACACACACACACACACACACACACACACACACACACACACACACACACACACACACACACACACACACACACACACACACACACACACAGGACAATGATACATTCAGACACACACATCCAGCTCTGACTTGTCTTCATGTTCATCTCTTTGAACTCTTGACAGACAGACAGACAGACAGACAGACAGACAGACAGACAGACAGACAGACAGACATCAGTGTATCGCAGTGGTGTTCGGTGTTTTGGTGGCACATTTAAGAAAACAACAAGGTTTTCAGGCAAACTGAATTGACCCAAATTGGTTTAGCTTGGAGGAGAAAAAGATAAGCTCATTAAATTTAATTTTAGTCAGTTACTGTTGATGTGTACTAGATTTTTAGGAAGCCCTACCAAACTACCTCTTGCATTTATGTGGCATTATTACTGTTTCACATAAAGAGGTTTTGAATGCTACTGCAATACTCCACTTTCAGGCAAACCCTTCTCAGTGGTTTTTTCCCCTCCTCTTTCCATCTGTTCAGCCATTATTTATTTGTCTGTCATCTTTGTTTTGCCAGTAAATTCATTTTTCTTTTAGCCTCCTTGTTTGTGTGTTTGTGTGTATGACCATGACTAACAGGTCACTGCTGTTCAGCACTGCAGCCAATCCCTTTAGGTCCTCCTCTCTGCTGCTTGTTTAGCGACCTTGACAGCCTTTCGCTGTCCCTCTGAGTCGCACAATTTGCCCCCTCTTTCCCCCTCTCTCCCCTATCTTCTCACTCGCCTCTTTTTGTCCTATTTCCTCCTTCTGATCTCCTCTGCTCTCTGTTCTTGCTGGTCTCTTCCTCTATGCCCCATGTTTAGCAACCTTGACAGCCTTTTCCATCCCTCCAGCATAAATCAGCCCCACTCACACTCTGTTGCCCCATATCTCTCTCTTCCCTCTGTCCTCTCTTTCTTCTTGTCACTCCACAGTTTTTCTTTCAATTCATTTACTCTTTATCCCCGCTCTGTTGCCCTCTTCCATATTTCCCTATTCACGGCCTGTGATTTATATCAGCATGTTGTGTTGTCAAGTCAAATAAAAACTGATTGCAATGTCCAGGGAGTCATTTCAGAATAAGAAATCATTCCACAAACTCTTAGGTAAAATAAGCTTGAAAAAGAAAACATCATATTGATCTTTTCACTGACCTATCATCAAGCAGCCAGAACTTGACTTGTCATCACAGAAAATGTCTAATATTTAATTGTAATATGTTCACCATAGACTCATTAGTTCTAAAAAAAAGATGAACCACTTAAAACTCAAGTACTGTAAAATGAGACATCACATTGTGAAATAACTGTCCAGGATAAAGCATGACTCTCAGTCTGTCTTATAACATCCTGTGAATATTATAAATTAACCTGAGTTAACGGTTTTACCACCGTGTGTGTTATGATAACACTTACTGTAAGTTTCAGTTGACTGCATCAAACTGCATTTTAAATGTTAACTATATTGGCTGTGTCAGACTCAGCACACTTGTCTCGTTTGTTCTGTCAAGGTTGGTTACACGTCTTTTTTCTACATAATATAAACACAGATTTGTATCCATTGCACCTGCGACCGCACACTCCCACAGATTCATGTGATTGATTCGGGGGATTGTGTCATTACAGGAAAATACTTTACGTGGACTGCAGTGACTGAGTTCCACTCTCACCAAGTGCCTGTGACTCCACCTTGAAAATAAAACCCTGAAATCACTTCAAACATCGTCTAGTGTAAGATCAGCATGAGCCAGCAAACTCTTTGACTCACCTCCTCCCACATGCCCTCTCCGTCCCTCCCCTCTCCCCCCCCTCGAACTTCCACACATCTTCTCATCTTATCCCCTCTTTCTATTTGTACCTCTTTCTTCTCCCACTTCCTCCCTCTCTATATCTACTTCCTTTCTTCTCTCTTACCCGCTTTTCCTCTGCCTCTCCCCTCCTCTTTCTCTCGCTCGCCTCCTAATCCCTCCTCTCCACCCTAATTTAAACTCTTTGAAGCCTTCAATAAGGCTCCATAATAAGCTTCTCCCTCTCCAGGCAAGGCAAGGGAGCAGCCTCCCAGTTGCATTCTGCCACTATGTGAGCGCTGGCGTGTTTGTGTGTGTGTGTGTGTGTGTGTGTGTGTGTGTGTGTGTGTTTGTGTGTGTGTGTGTGTGTGTGTGTTTGTGTGTGTTCTCTATTTATTAGTGTCTCTGCTTGTGAGCTTTCATGCCTGTGTTTGTGCATGAACTGTGTACAACTTTGTGTTTGTAAGAAGTGTGAACTTAAACGCTCAGCAGAGGGCCATGAGGGGAACAGAAGAGCATATTGTGGAACATTTCAGAATAAGACTCCACTGCAGATTAAAAGTAGGTTATTGATGCTAACCACAACAATTTCAGCTGCATATTATATTTAATTTAATTTTTTTCAGATTCATCGGAATTGGAAGAAAAGTTATCCATCTGAATTTCTCATTATGGACCTAGTTGAAGCCTAAATTAGTGTTTTGAACACTTGACGGGATTATTTTCTTCAGCCAAATTGGCTGACACTTCATGAGTGTTCTGCACATTTATCCACAGATTGGGCTGGTACAAATGGATTTATCTCTTGTTGAATTACCTTTAGGCTACTTCACGATATGTCAAACAGCTAAATTTTGAATCTTTTCCGTTTTTGGAGCTTCAAAGGTTAGAAAGAGATCCCATTAGAAAGAGAAAGCGTTGGTCACTCATTTAGTGGAGAATCCTTCATGTTAAAGAAACCGCTTGTGGCTGTGCTTATAAGAACCCCTGAGCAGCCAAGAGGGATGTAATGTGGCTTTGTTAATATGCTGCAAAACCTTTTATGGGAACATGCTGGGTTGGCTGGTTGTGCATGCTAACTAAATGTTTGAGACTGCTGTTCCTACAGTCAACCTTGTTTTTTTATACAGTACCATGTAGTTTAAGTAACTAAAACTTAAATCAATGTTAACTTTCCAGATAAGAAATTACTAACCAAAATTAGAAAAAACAAATTAGAAACACTCCTGTTTGCTATTTTGAATGGCGGTCAAAGGGCAACTTTTTGTTTCATTTGTAGGACTTGTTGTAGGACGCATTTATAAAATACCTGGGATGAGATTGTCTTAGTTCACTGGGTTGTACTTGTAAAGGAATTTAAGAAAAAATGAAAAGGCAAGAAACATTGTTTGTCCCCAATTTAGCAATGATATCTCTTTAAAACCTGAAATAAAGAAATCTCTGGACTTCATCATGAGCATGATTTCTGCGTTGTGGCATTTCTTGGGTCTAGAGGGATTGTACAATATGTTTGCTGTCACGGTTAGTTTTATTTTCAGCTACAGTTGTGCTAATTGTGGGAATTTGGCAGTTTATCTTTGCCTGCTGAACTTCTTTTTGAGCTGTAATAGATTAGAGACTGGCTTCAGCACACACACATACATAAACACACACACAAACTCACTAAGCACTTACTATAGCACTGGTCTAAAACACACAGCAAATGCACACACTCACACACATTCAGGGAATACACATACAATGCACACTGGCTTACTGTGCACAAACACACACTGTCACACAGACACACACACTTACACACAAACATGCGCTGTATGGGTTTATCTTCATGATGATAGTAATCAGTATGATGCCCACTGGCTAGAGCAGCAGACTGCTTGGTAGTCATTACCGTTAGCTGTTTACAGCCGTTAATCAAATTAGCAAGTCAGACACACACAAAAGTTCACCAACAAACACTCTCACACACTCTCACACGCGCGCACACACACACACACACACACACACACACACACATATTCAAATGTACAGAGCTACACTCAGTTGACACGGTTGTAAAAACACACACACATCCACAGCACACACACATAGAAGATGTAAACATGGAGAATTGCTCAGAGTTCCATCTGAGATAAATAATCTGTCCTGAAGCGGAGACACAGGCAGAGAGAGCGAGGAGGAGGCAAACAGGAAGAGAGATTTGCACACTTCTGTAGGTAGAGAGATGTAAATGAGATAACTACAGAAAGACAGTGAGGAGGAAAAAAGAGACATGG